TCCGATCCACTCCTATCACGATCGCGACTGCGTGAACGAGACCTTGAACGATCTCCGTTGTCTGACGACTTGCTTCTCCCATTCTGAAAAAAAAAATAATAATAAGAAAAGAACTATTCATAGCTGAGTTCAACTTCTCACCTTTTCTTCGGCAGGGCTAGCACTTCTCGACTTGTCACGACGAGGGGAGAAACTGCGATCAGCGCTTTCCCTAGAAGAACTTCGAGTTCGCCTAGCCTTCTTCGGCGATGGACTGAGCGAAGAGTCCCTCTTGTCATCTTTAGGTGTGGCGCTTCGGCTCTTTCTTTCCGATGGAGATTCGACTCGCTTTGGTTCAGGAGAAGCAGATCTACTTGCGCTTCTCGCTTTTTTCGGGGATGGACTTCTGCTTGAGGTCTTCTCGGGAGAGCTGTTCTGGGAACGCTTGTCGCGTTTCGGAGAGCGGCTACGTCTTGAGCGACGCTTCTTATCTGGAGATCTGCTGCGGCTAGAACGGCTCGAGTCACGGCGTCCACGCGATCTTTTCGGCGAAGCACTGCGACTGCGCGAACGGCTACGTCCTCTCCTAGAAAAGGAATCAATACGCCAGCAATCATTAAACCTTTTAAAAATTTAAAAGCTCTAGTTTTAATTGGGGAATCAGATGAAAAAAAAGAAATTATTTTTAACTGGGTAACATACCTTCTGCTGCTGCTGCGTCTGCTGCGATCACGGCTTCGAGAACGAGAGCGGCTGCGACGTCTGCGGTCACGAGAACGAGAACGTGATCGATAGCGGTAAACGTCACTTCCATGCGGGCGACCTTTAGCAATCTCCACGAGCACCCTGAAGGATTTATTTGAAACATCAACTACTGCGTCCTATTAAAAATCCACTATTTGAAAAAACTTTTTCACGGCATAAAATTCCAAACACACAAAAAAAAATCTTGTCTTCCCCATTTGACGTAACATTTCGTACTTATTCTGGTAAATAGGAGCTATCTTCACTTTCCTTAACACCCAAATAACACCGTAACTCGCTTTTGTGAGAGTTGAATAATGTCATTTACCTTGAACATATCTCCTTTACTTTAAAATGATGATAACAAAGCTCCCACCACTAATGTGTGTTGTACTACCTGCTAGTAACAAGCTGACCAAGTCTGCTCACCTGTCTCCCAAAATGGAACGTCCATTTAGCTCGTCCACAGCATCTTCAGCATCTCTTTTACTTTCAAACTCAATGAATGCAAACCCTCGCTTCATTGCGATATCGGTGATCCTTCCATAGCCTTGAAAGAACCTAAAAGAAAAGTTTTTGGTACAGGCTTCAATTATTTATCTCATCCCGAACCTACCTTTCAATATCGCTCTCGCGGGCACGAAAAGGAAGTCGTCCCAGGTAGACACGCGCCATTCCGGCTGAGCTGAAAAGAAATTTGCAGTTGACGACGAATGCTACTTGGCACAAAATTGGCGCGGAAGCGAACCATCAACTCCACGGCGTTATACTCTCTAATGTTATCGGCTACATTACTATATTCTCTTTAGTTAAAAAGAGACGAAAGAGAGTGAAATGTGATACTAAGAAGAAACTGCCATCTTAAGAGCAGGAATGATGAGAATGGAAAGCTGCGTGTCGAAGGCGCGAGCGTGCGCAACGCGCCCAAATTTACACAAAACTCGTCCGCCACTTTACCGCTCAGAATCGCCGCGCCGTGGAAAGGTGCACTAAGAGGACATTGACCTTACTTCTGCATAGACTGATGTCATTGCCTTCTCAGTAGAATGAGTCATCGCATTTCTCTTTGTAGTAGATGATTAGAACAAAATAACAAGCAATGATGTCAGAATCAGAAGAGTCGGACTCTTCTCCATACTTCGTTACGACTGCTTCCACTGCAGTTCATGAAGGGAGAATGTCAATATGTACTACGTGTAGTATAGAAATCATGTATTTATCCATATTAATCAAATGCACTCTTCCATGAGCTGCAATGAAATTCGGAAATTTGTAGCATGCTGTAGGCGAATGCCGCTTCCATGTTTTTGCTCAGTAAATGATATTTTGACTGGTTGTCTGTAAGTAAAGTGTGTTTCAAGCTTTTTATCACACCACTTCATTTTTGCGTAAAAACTATTCAGAGGCCTA